CTGTTTTTATTTTACTGTGAACACAGTAATATAATTGTGGATTTTTCCGGAGAAAATCATTTATCTAGACTAACAGAATGGTTCAGACTGATCATAAAACAGAAATGTTAATTAATCATCATAAATGTTTTGCAGTGATTTCTCTTAGAGTCTATCAGAAGGAAAGCTAAAGAAATGTTATCATATTCTGTTGTTGAACAACCACAGAATTTAACCTTGACTGGCGCCTGGCTGGCAAGTCTTTATCTTTCTTCCTTTTCTCCGACTCATCTTAATGCCTGAGGGCGGAACCAAAGTCATCCGCTTCTATCACTAACACGGATGTCTTTGAGAGACACACCACTTCTTCCTGGATGCCAAACTTGGAAAGAAAGCTGAGTTTCTCTCCGGAGAAGCCAGTTTGGCTTGTTAGGTCTTGCCCATGAGCCAACTAGGGAAGATCTAACGGCCGGGGCTCGGCACACCAGCCGGATGTCCCACCCGAGGCTCCTCGCCTCCAAAGTGTGTTTTAACTCCCGAGGGGAGATTTTATTTTGAAAGAAGGCACCGGATGTACAGCTTGAATCTTTCTGGCTTGGACTGAAACAGACGAAAAATTACCTGAAATAACACCTTTCTCTCCAAAGAACAGTGAGCGAGCCGATTTAAAAATTCTGCTAAGGGTGACGTGTCATGTGGAAACTGAGTGCAGAAGGGACGTGCTGATCCGGTTGGCCACACTCTTGATAAAGTAAAATTTAGTAGCAATACTAACCTTACTTTCCTCCTTTTCTTTGTCTTTATTTGCCAAAACTTAAGCTGAAAGTGCCAGTAGAATTGTTTGGTTGTAACATCAGAAGTGACGTTTTACTGTTCTATATAAGTAATCTGAGTTGATGTGAATTAAAATTCAGACGCGAGTTTTATCTCATTTAACTTTGAAGCTTGTTATAGGTGTGGTAGAACTAATACTTTATGTTTAAGCAAATAATTCATGACATCCTTTAATGACCTAGATTTTCCTGACATGCTGTTCATCTGCAGACAGAATGATTAAAGTCAGAACAAGGTCTGCTAACAACAATAATCATTCTTAGATATCACTTGTGTTTATCTTTGTTTTCCATTGACCTTGTATCAAATCTTGCTAAAACGACAGAATGCTGTTTGTTAATATATATATGAGGCCTCTCGAGACAACAGAGACAGTGAGCAGTGTGGAGAGACTGACAGAGGCACAGAGACAGGCCAGGTTCTCTGTGTTTCCTGTTGTTGCAATAAAACTCAGCTGATCATCTCACGGAGTACCTTCATTCTTGGACCACGTATTTCTCTCTGTTGTTAGATAAATATTTACCATAACAGTTGGCGTTGTCGGCAGGATGACAATTGGAAAACCACAATCAGGTGTAACTTATGATCTGTTCAATTTGTGTAAATAAATAATTGCATAGTCTTTATGAATCAACTTGAACTCATCTGATCGTTCACTTATTGTGTCACTTTTCTCTTCGCACAGTCAAGATATTAACAAGTAATGAGAAAATACCTTGGTAAAACTTTCCTCATAACCTTGTTTATGAGAGATGTAGAAAAGCTTAATTCACTTAAGCTCACCCCTACAATAATAATAATAATAATTTCAAACATTAACAATGTTCAAGTTAAAAAAAATCTTCAGCTCTAATAAATACAAACTATAAAATTTTATATTTCCTTAACTAATACATTTTTATCATTATTTTAAACAAATTAATTGAACCAGCATTTTTACAATCACTTTACAATTTATTCCATTTTCGTATTCCCTGGACTGAACTACATCTCTCTTTAAATTTGTTCTTATTTTAGTTTTTACAAACATTTTCAGTCTTTAAGATTATAAAAACTTTCCCTTTTAACAAAATTTGATTGGACGTTCAAAGGTAATACAATTATATGAGCCTTATGAACAGCAAAACATTTAATTATTTTTGTTGCTACTGCTCAAAAACTGCTTCAGTTTGTTTTAGGATTATATTTCAGACAGCTCATTCAGATGATACACTGATGAGGTGTTAATTCATTATATTTTGACAAAATATTTCTCCACATCCCACTTTTGGACTTAATCCTCGTTTCGATGTGATGGGTCACAGATGTTTTAGCTGCAGAACATGAATGAATGAAACTTAAATATAAATCTAGGATTTGTAGCATTTTTTTTATTTTCCTGCCTTTTATATTTACCTATAGAAATATGATTTTCATCAGCTGCTAAACCCAAACACTCCAACGTAACAACCTGAAGCAGCCAGACTGAGGAGTCCAGGCCTGTCAGCCTCCAGCCCCGTGTCACCAACAACACGTGGACTCACCTTGAAGTTGACTCTGTTGCGGACCCGGTTGGCGAGCGCCGTGTTGATGGCTTTATCAAACTGAAGGAGGACCTGAAGAGCCAGCTGAGGTGTGATCTGCTGGGTCTGAAAACACACAGAAACAACAGGTGACGTCTTCATCACATCATCACAGAGGTTATATTAAAACCCTGGAGCTCACAGAACCAGGAACTTCCTGATGAGCTTCATTAACCACGTTTGTTGATCAATAAGATGATTTTTTTTATTTATTTGTATTTGGCTGATGTTTGTCAACATTTTTTTAAACTCATTAATCAAAAAGTACATCTTAACCACTGGCTGAAGCTCTGCTGCAATGCACACTATTGTGATTCGTTTCCCATCCAAGTCATCTCAACTTTGCCATGCTTCTCCTCCTGCATACTTTGTCCTAGAGCTGCCATTGTAATTTATATTTGTAAAGCTCCTGTGCCAAATGATGGCTATGCCTTTTGGTGCCTGTACAACGTATAGTTTTTGCAATATTAATGTTTAATAAATTATAATGGCAGTCAATGCAGCCTTGTATTGGTCCAATACTGCCCCCTGCTGCCTCTACACAATATGGTACTGCACCATAGTTTCATAATATTTAAACTCAGTAGTTCAGTGATTACAATATTAATGTGATTGTATTTTGATGTTTTATTGTAATACTGTCTTAATGTTGTCCTATTGTTGTAATATATTGCAGTTTAGTGTCAACGATTGCATTGGCAATGTGGCCTCTTTCTGCACACATACAAACCAACTCCTGGCAATCCCCTCTGCCACAGCTCCAATGGTCTAATGGTTAATGCCATGGGCTTTCATGTAGGAGATCAGGGTTCAAACCCCAGCTACAGTAACTTTAACTAAAAAATCTCTACACACATCATATTGTTACACAATTATGGTGCGTTCACACCGAACGCGATTTCAGCGTCAGGAGCAGCAGGTTTACATTCAAAGTCTATGGTGGACGCGCTTCAAGCAACGTCGGGA